GACACAGTGATAATACTGCCACAGCTCTGACTGTAATAAAAGACTGGAATAACATGGTATTAATCATGTCGTAACACTTCAGGGACACTGTGATTATACTGCCACAGCTCTAACTGTAATAACAGACAGTAGTAACACAATAATAATCGTGTCGTAACACTGCAGGGACACAGTGCTAATAATGCCACAGCTCTGACTAGAATAACAGACTGGAATAACACGATAATAATCGTGTCATAACACTGCAGGGACACAGCTCTGGCTGTAATAAGTCTGTAATAACACAGTAATAATCGTCTCATAAAACTGCAGGGACACAGCTCTGGCTGTAATAACAGACTGGAATAATACAGTAATAATCATGTCTTAACACAGGATGGACACAGCTCTGGTTGTAATAACAGACTACAATAACACAGTAATAATCGTGTCATAACACAGGTTGGACACAGCTCTGACTGGAATAACATGGTAATAATAATAATCATGTCATAACACAGCATGGATACAGCTCTTACTGGAATAACACAGTAATAATCGTGTCATAACACTGCAGGGACACAGTGATAATACTGCCACAGCTCTGACTGTAATAACAAACTGGATTAACACTATAATAACTGGTCATAACACTGCAGGGACACAGTGATAATTCTGCCACGGCTCTGGTTGTAATAACAGAGTGGCATAACATGGTAGTAATCAAGTTGTAACACAGCATGGACACAGCTTTCACTGTAATAATAGACTGGAATAACACAGTAATAATCATAATCACTGTGTCCCTGCAGTGTTATGACATGATTATCATGTCATAACACTGCAGGGACACAGTGATAATACTGTCACAGCTCGGGCTGTAATAGCAGACTAGAAAACACGGCAATAATCGTTTTGTAACACTGCAGGGGCACAGTGAGAATACTACCAGAGCTCTGACTGTAATAACACGGTAATAATTGTGTCGTAACACTGCAGGCACGCAGTGATAATACTTTCACAGCTCTGTCACCAGACAGCAGTTACACAGTAGTACTTGTGTCTGGACACTGAGAAATCCTTTCTCTGTCTCCAGGAAAAGAGCACGTACCTGGGGCTGGTCAGTATCCCGATCTCCAGCATCACAGGACGGCAGTTTGTGGAGCAGTGGTACCCCGTCATCCAGCCCAGCGTGCTGTCCAAGAGTGGGGGAGTCGGGGGGGGCAAGACCCTCAACGCCTCCCTGCGCCTCAAGTCTCGCTACCAGACCATGAGCATCCTGCCCATGGAGCTATACAAGGAGTTCGCCGAGTTCGTCACCAACAACTACCGCACGCTGTG